CCGATTGGTCATGCCATTCAATCATAAATCATTTAGCAAAGAGACATGCTGCAAATGAACCTTCCATACAACTGGCCGGGAATAACGGATGATTGCGGAAAGCCACATGCATAATTCATATGTTCCAGCAGGGGATGTTTAAACTTCCTGCTGACATCTTTGTCTCAGTCTTGTATGTGTTGTGCTGACATAACCTGGATGTCTACACGGGGACCATCTGCCTTCCTTGAAAAAGTGTCAGGACACAGAGTGCAGGACCCATATCGTCCAATCAGAAATGAAGGTTCTAATTCGGCATTGATTAAAGAAAAGGTTTGCTGAAAAATACAGGGATTGCCCATGCTGACCTGCTTTTGAATTTCTAGATGTTTGGCTGTCATGCTGGTCAACTGGCTACAGTGTAAGCATGCAGATCTCTCAGTTTAGAGGTTTTTTTGGGGGGCTGGGGGTTATTAATTTACAGCTTAGTGTTTATTTCCTTTTTTCAGGGGCATGTGATTGTTATTTATGTATTGTTGTTTAATATGATTTTTTAACTCGTCCACATACACTCACCGGCCACTTTATTAGGTACACCTTTTCAATTGCTTGGTAACACAAATTGCTAATCAGCCAATCACATGGCAGCAACTCAATGCATTTAGGCATCTAGACGTGGTGAAGATGACTTGCTGAAGTTCAAACTGAGCATCAGAATGGGGAAGAAAAGGGATGTAAGTGACTTTAAACGTGGCATGGTTGTTGGTGCCAGACGGGCTGATCTGAGTATTTCAAAAATTGCTGATCTACTGGGATTTTCACGCTCAACCGTCTCTAGGGTTTACAGAGAATGATTCAAAAAAGAGAAAATATCCGGTGAGCAGCGGTTGTTTGGATGAAAATACCTTGTTGATGTCAGAGGAGAATGGACAGACTGGTTCAAGATAATAGAAAGGCAACAGTAATTCAAATAACTACTTGATACAACCAAGGTATGCAGAATACCATCTCTGAATGCATAACACATCAAACCTTGAAGCAGATAGGCTACAGCAGCAGAAGACCACACCGGGTACCACTCTTGTCAGCTAAGAACAGGAAATGGAGGCTACAATTTGCACAGTGTAGTGTAAGTGTAGTGAAGAGGGGGTGGTAGCAAGAGGTAAAACTATTTTTTTTTAATGGGAGAAGATCCGCTTTGATATTGTCTTCCACACTGACTTTACCAAATTCTCCCAAATTTCACTGAAATTTATGAGAAATTGAAACTCACATTTTCCCCAATCACTAGTAACAAGCACTAACAATGGAAATTCATGCTCATTATCACTTGCTCTTTGCTAGCTGCTTATCACAATACTGTAATTTGTCTTGTAAAGATCAGGCCACATGCGAGGGCCGCGGGGAAAACAACTGGCCAATCCGAAGCTCCATCTATACATATGAGTCTTTTTTTTATGACAGGAAACCGTTTCTTTCACTGGAGATTTTGGTGGCAGATAGCTGAAGGTTTGGATTGTAATTCGTTTGATGTCCTTCAAGATACCACAGGAAATTTTTATATGGATGACAAGTGACAATGACAAGTCCACTTTAACGCTGCCACAAGACTTTTTCATAAACAGCAATTTCCTTCTGCAATTATTTTTAGAACATTATGGAATGGTAGGAAATCCTCTAGCTATAAATTTACAGTTACATATCAGTGGTAACACAGGCTCTTCTTCCTGTTGAGCTGTATTTATTAACCTAAAAGGGAACTGATGCTTCTTTTTTTCCTTCTTTAACCCTCGTTTCTTCTCTCATGCGACAGCCTCTAACTCTGCCTGAAATTACTTTAAAGGGATCCTATACTGTGCTTTTATTTAGGACATATTTTATATTATTATATCATTTTTGACATTTACTTCCTTGCTGTTCTGTATTTTGATTTTTAATAATGTTCTTCATATACTGGTCTCCAAAAAGCTCCTTTCTACTGGTCATCTGTATATTAGAGAATGAGATCATATGTGTAAAAACTGTTGAGATAAACTTGGTTAGCCTTACAGAAAGGCTAGTGTTTTCAGTCATATCATCCTGATGGCCAAGTTTGCATCAAGAGACAGAAGCAGTGGAAGTATGTTTAAATTCAAATTGTTTTTTTTTTGATCTGCTGAATGGAACCAGGGAATGAGTCTTCAGTTGCTTTGATGCCAGCAACCACTGGCTTCATAGTAACCAAGTAGCCCCATATACATGATGGTTTCCCCATGCAAAATGTCCCACTTTGAGCTCTGCTGTGTCTCTGTACGCAAACTCTGAGTTGGTTTTAATTAATTCTTTTAGAATCTGTCACAGCCATAGTTACAGATTCTAAATCTGACATTAGTAAGAACTACCTGAATCTGGTGAACCTGTCACAAGGCTTTCCTGATTTAGGGGGGCAATTTTAAATGGGCCATGCCAACAATAAATGTGGTGCTAACTAAGTGCAGTATTATAACATAAGTTTATTGAACAGCCAATGGGAAACTCACATGTAAAAAGAGAAAGGCAGACATGTCTGATTTATCTGTGGTCTGATAGTGGGCAGGTTCTCTGACTGGACTGATGTTTCTGCTCCTCATCGCACTCAGAGACCATGGGGGAAATGGTAGGGCCAGCACGGAACACACAACTGGAAGTGACATCACCAAGGAGATGTAGGAAGGGGTGTGGTTATGTACTTCAAAGCTTCAGTTTCTTTATAAACCCTGTTACACACTATGGAGAGCACCCTTATATAGGAACAAGCAGGGGATGAGGCCCCAAAGGATGATGGCATGTGTTGGAAACACAATCATGCAGCTTGCATTACCACAAACCATCATAGGATAGAATCTATAAAAAATGGGATATGCATGTTTATATATTCCCATACATGCACAACCTTCAGATTCTATTCCTGTATACTGTTTTAGTTTTCATTGTTTCACTTTCTCTGCATTTTCCATATTCACTTCCTTATTTATGGTTCTGTTTTACATGTGTGATCAACTAGAATCACTGTTACATTCCAAACTTTTTTTTTTTGAGGTGTGCAGTATGGCATTTTCCAGTTTTTAGCTATAGTGTCATCCCCTGTTGTTTTTTATAAACACTGTACTGGTATTTGATCCATTGTCTCTTTAGATGTGCTTTCCCCTTTAAGGTAGGTAGGCTACTGCTGATATTGAAATTGAGTAGTACTTATCCCTTTGGGGCCTCCTGCCCTACTCTTTCCTATATAGTGTGTAACAGGTTTGATAAAGAAGTGAAAGCTTTGAAACACATAACCACACCCCTTCCTGTGGTTTCCTGATGATGTCACTTTCAGTTGTGTTCCACGTGGGCCCTGCTACTTCGTGCATCCCTCATGGTCTCTGAGCGTGGTAAGGAACAGAAGCATCAGTCCAGTTGGAGAACCTGACTTGTGCCCACCATCAGACCTCAGATAAATCAGACATGCCTGCCTTTCTCTTTTACATGTGAGTTGTCAATTGGCTTTTTGATAAACCTGTGTTTTTAATACTTCACTTAGTTGGCGAGCCCCTTGTGTTCCTTTTCCCAATTGACAGAGTTTGCTTTGCTCTATGGGGCTGCTGACACTTTCTGCTATGAAAAACCATGAACTATTATGGACTTTAATGTATATGGACTTTTTTAACTTTATGTTGGGGTAGTACACACCTTCTCCAGCACCATTTATATCTATTGCAGTTGAAAGAATTGATGTGACCTACATCTGTCAAGATTTCAAGTAACCATAGAATAATGGTAGCTACTTAGTAATTGCACTTGTGCAGAGTATAGTAACCTCTACAGAGAGAGATGAAGGATGTTCTGAAGGCTGAGTAGGCCCAGTCCTAGATTTGCTCAGAGATCATCAGGATGGTAAAGGCGACTTACTATGGAATTTAAAAAAACTCATCATGTGCTTGCAGAGGCATCATGTGAATGAAAATCGGTTATAGTGAGGGTGCTTGTGGTGATCGTAGGTATGGAAAAAGAGATCCAACCAATATTGGTAATCTATTATTATAATAAGCTTTTTTATTAAAACACCATAGATGCATTTTGTGAGTATATATGTCACTTCCAAATGAATGGCTTCTTACAATATCCATCCAAGCACAGCCAGCAACACTTCTCCCTGTGAGGGAGCACACCCATCAATGTTTGATCCACTCTGCCATCCTCCTTTGTCAGAGCAAACCCTGCATCTTTCATCACTGTCCTGCATCTCCACCTCATCAAATCACAGAACGCTTTAAATTCATTCAGAAAATGCAAAGAATTGTTTGAATGGCACTTATGCCGAGCAGCAGATCAGCTGCTCCACACAGGACCCAGAAGCAAGTGGAGATCAATGGGGACAAGTGTCTACTTCAATAATCTCTAGCTTCCATTGGCATCGGTCAGGTTTGGTGTACACATAGTTACATTGGTCTAAGCTGGAGCAAAGTAACTTTGTATAAAATATCCATACCTGAAACCGCTCTTAAAGTTGAACTGTCCAGTGGGTTGAAAGATGCTGGCCGGAAAAACCGAGGATATCTTGTGGTAGAAAAGAAGAACTATGGAGCACAGCTCTGGATTGAATGCAAGTAATTCAGCAAAACATGCTTTTTTATTTGATCTTTTAATGGGCTATTATTTGTTTAAGTTTTGCTTTAGTTTTGTTGCAGATGAAGAACTACAACAAAATAATTGCCACCAGATTGCAAAACAAAATGCAAAAAAAAAAATCAGGATACACAAATAAAAGCCCCTCCACCATAGGTATCAGTATAATACTGACATTAGCTGGACCAGCTCAAGTCTGTTATCTGCTGCTATGGCAATTTATTTGTGGTGTGAGAGGTAACCACAGAACAGTCAGACCTCTATCACACTTCTTTCACAGGGTGCAGCATAAGCAACATACACTCAACATAACAACCATCTGAAAAAAAACAACTGAACTACAAAAACGGTTCATATTATGCAGATACTGTGCTGATTGGCCCTGCGCTGATCACATGCACTCTCCCAAGAAAGAAAAAAAATATCTAGCAATGCACATCAAACTGAGCATGTGCAACTTGCCCTCAAGTCTCGGTTCTATGAGGAGATGGATTGGGGACAGTAGAAGAAGGGGAGGATCAGAGAAGACAGGATCAAACATTCTTTTTGCACAATTCAGAGGCTTAACCCCTTAAGTTCCACAGTATACCAGGCATGCTTTACTGCATATACAGTACAGACTGATTTTACTGTTGTGGGTTTAGTATCACTTGAACATTGGTAGCTAAAATCAGGCACCGCTAAGTGTCCAAAAACACCTTGTGGGTATGTTCAAGAAGGAGATGCTTGGCATGCATATTGAATGCATGGTATACACCACCTGCTGGGTCAGACAACATCCACTGAGCTAAACATTTCAGACATCTACACTGGTTTCCATATGTGCTGTACAAATTGCTTTTCCCAATCCCCATTATAGCCAGTGCCCCTTTGCAGGGCAAACAGAACAACATTCAAGTAATATTCAACACTTTCATTATTATAGTGGCCACACATTTTACCCCTAACTAAAATCTAGTGGAACCAATTGCCTTCAGAAGCCAACCAATTAGTAAATAGAGTCCACCTGTGTGTAATTTAATCTCAGTATAAATACAGCTGTTCTGCAAAGCACTGAGGTTTGTTAGAGAACATTAGTGAACAAACAGCATCCTGAAGGCCAATGAAAACAACAGACAGGTCAGGGATAAAGTTGTGGAGAATTTGAAAGTAGGGTTAAGTTATAAAAAAAATATCCCAAACTTTGAATATCTCATAGAGCACTGTTCAACCCATCATCCGAAAATGGAACAAGTATGGCACAACTAAGAACCTACCAAGACATGGCTGTCCACCTGAACTGACAGGCCGGGCAAGGAGAGCATTAAGCAGAGAAGCAGCCAATAGGCCTATGGTAACTGCAGAGATCCACAGCTCTGGTGGGAAAATCTGTCCACCGGGCAACTATTAGTCATGCACTCCACAAATCTGGCCTTTATGGAAGAGTGGCAAGAAGAAAGCCATTGTTGAAAGAAAGCCATAAGAAGCCCCGCTTGCAGTTTGCAAGACGCCTTGTGGGGAACACAGCAAACATGTGGAAGAAGTTGCTCTGGTAAGATGAGACTAAAATTGAACTTTTTGGCCTAAAAGCAAAACTCTATGTGTGGCAGAAAACTAACACTGCACATCACCCTGAACACACAATTTCCACTGTGAAACATGGTGGTGGCAGCATGTTGTGAGGATGCTTTTCTTCAGCAGCAGGACAGGTAAGTTGGTCAGAGTTGATGGGAAGATGGATGGAGCCAAATACAGGGCAATCTTAGAAGAAAACCTGTTAGAGTCTGCAAAAGACAAGACTGGGGCAGAGGTTCACCTTCCAGCAGGACAACAACCCTAAACATACAGCCAGAGCTACAATGGAATGGTTTAGATCAAAGCATATTCATGTGTTAGAATGGCCCAGTCAAAGTCCAGACCTAAATCCTAAATTGAGAATCTGTGGCAAGACTTGAAAATTGCTGTTCACAGACACTCTCCATCCAATCTGTCAGAGCTTGAGCTATTTTACAAAGAAGAATGGGCAAAAATTTCCCTCTCTAGATGTGCAAAGCTGGTAGAGCCATCCCCATAAAGACTTGCAGCTGTAATTGCAGTGAAAGGTGGTTCTACAAAGTATTGGCCCAGGGGAGCTGAATACAAATGAACGCCAATCTTTTCAGATGTTTATATGTAAAGAAATTTGGAAAACCATTTATATGATTTTCTTTCCACTTCACAATTATGTTCCACTTTGTGTTGGTCTATCACATAAAGGTTGTAACATGACAAAATGTGGAAAATTTCAAAGGGTATGAAAAATTTTTCAAGGCACTGTAAATTACAACCGTAGATGGCCAGCTTAGCTAAAGACAATGTATAACTAGCATAGAAAACATGCACAAGGGCAAGGCAGTTTTGCATTGTTGGATTCGGTGCAGACACTCATTTGGGGTCTATGAACATGTCTGGGTTTCTGGTGTGTTGCTGTACAGGTGATTACCAATTGATGGGGTGAGTGGAACAGATGGGGTTTTTGGGTAGCCTCAAGAAAGACGAGTGAAGCTATCCTCAGTTGGAGGCTAGCTAGGGTTAGGTGAATTTCCTGCCCACCAATTTTTGTGATTGACTTTCATCATTGTAAAACATGTTTTGGTGGGAGTCATAGCAGATGGCAGGGTTACAAGTTATTTTAAGGTGGCTATTTAGGTAAAAACGTAAATAGGGTAGAGACCCCTCTTAGGTATGGTGCCCCTTTTTATGTGTGGCTAAAATGGTAATATTCATTATACTGAAGCTTGCATCTTAGTTAAGGTGGCTGCATTAGTTTTATTATTTTTCTTTTCTTTATTTTAACCTTGTGATCCAGCCAGTATGTCTGTTGTTTTTCAACAGAACAAGCTGTCCTGCAGACATATCAGTTGGTGGGTTGAAACAAACCATTAACGTGTTAATAAACCCAAAACAGTAAAATCAATCTGTATATGCAGTAAAGCATGCTTGTTATACTCACTGCGGAACCTAAGGGGTTAATCTTCTGCATTTTTAAAAATTCTGTTTGATCCTGACTTCTCTGATCCTCTCCTTCTTCCAGTGTCCCCCTCTTATCTCCTGAAAATACATATCGTGTGGAGACACTTTGCACATGCTCAGGTTTTTTTTTTAATTCTTTGGAGAGTGCATGTGATCAGCACAGGGCCAATCAGTACTGTCCAGACAGAGGTCAGGTTCTGCATTCTCCTAGAGCAAAATTAAAACACCTCCTACAAGCTTTAACCGGTGCTCTGCTAGACACTGACAGAAGTCATAAGACTGCTCTAACTGCTGCTAAGAAAAGGTATTTAGTAGTTTATATTTACTAAAATAATTGCATTTCCTTGTTCTGTGTACTGTGTGAGACCAAATATAGCGAATGCGGATGCCTGGGTTTAGTAACACTTTAAATCGCCTGTCACAATGCTGTGATTTAAAACCGTGTGATTTGTGTGCAATTCCAGCACGATTTCAGGTGCAATTTATGAAGACTTTATTTTCAAGGATTTCTTGTGATTTCCATTATATTCTATGTATGAGAAATCACAATAAACTGCAGAAATTGTAAGGCAAGAACTACTTTAGAACTTGCACTGCAGCAATTCGCACATGTTAAGACACTGACATTCACATTCATTAGATGCAATTTCAGGTGTGATTCTAATCTGCAAATTGCACTTGAAATTGCACAAGTATGACTGGCACTAAGGACCCTTTCACACTGATGTGTTTTGATACACTTTAGATGTGCTTTAACACAGACAGGGGTGCTTACAATGATCAGCTTTTATTTATTTATGTAAAACCTTTATTCCAAAAGAAACAAAACTGTTGCTGTAACTACTCATAAAGTGTTATCTGGAGTTCAGCTTCAATTTGTTAGTGTATCTAAATCTGATAGTACATCTAACACTCCCCTACCCCCCAGACTGACACTGCTATTGTCCACAGGTATAAACAAATGACAACTGTCCCAATCTATAACTGGCCTTTGCAGCAAAGAGCACATGGAAGGGCAATGCATGTCAAACAACAACAGAGAAAAATTCCCAGCTCGATTTACTAACCAGCCTGCAACCAACAGAATGGTCCTGTCTAACAGTTCATGTTAAAAACAGGGGTTTAGTTTGCACACATTTGAAAATATTATTATTATTATACAGGATTTATATAGCACCAACAGTTTGTGCAGCTCTTTACAATATGAGTAAGCTGCACAGCCTCTTCACGGCACCCCAAAACCTGTGGTTCTTTTTCTGCAAGCCTACCTGCTCTCTGCCTATCCATTATTATACATGTGCTTCTACTATGGAGGCTCTCAAAATTATTTATAGAGTTAGGAACTGCGGAATATTGGGGTGCCATGAAGAGGCTCTGCAGCTTACGCATTTTGTTTGCTTTGGTGTCATTTTGAGAGTTTGTTGAGCCACTATAAATGTTTAATTTGTTATCTGTTGTTGTGTATGGAGCCAGGGAATGCCCAAAGGCTCTGTTTTGTACTTTATACTATGAAAATTGAATAAAGAAGAATTAAAAAAAAGAAGTTTGGAACCAATCTTGGAATGTTGCAGTCATAACAGGGAACACAAGAAAAGCCTGTTGTGCGACAAAGCGAATATTTTCCAGGAAGGCAAACAGCAGGATCAGCACAAATTCCTCCTATAGCCACTCAGCATATTGGGTTTCACCACCCCACTTAAAGTATGTCGTCACAGGCTTAATTCACTAGGAGAATCCATCAAGGATTGGGGTTTCTGGGCCTTATTCCCTGCAAATCTGATGCTGCACTTGCAGAAGCTTTCCTGCTCCATCAACAGGGTGCTTGCAGAAAGTTGGCAAAGAGGACTGGAGCTGGTCCATTGAGGAGTCAACAGTGCCAGTCTTTCCATTGCCATAATGCCATGCTTGCAAGCCATGCTTTTGTTCAGCGACATTGAATGCCACCTGCCACTGAAAGGATAAGGAGAGGAGGCATCAGCCTCCAACATGGTGCACTGGACCGAACAAGTCTTCTAATATCATCAGCCAGTTTAAAGCACAACTCAAGACAAACAGATAAATACACAGATTTCATACATTTATGGGAGCTGTTTTACCTGCCAAAGAGATTTTTTGCTGTTTGTCTATTCCTGACATTTACACAGCGATGCCACACTAGCACAGACCTGACTAGAAGGGAGCCTGTGACTGGACAGTGAAAAGAGGAGCAGCACATTGATGAGCTCACCTCTCTCTCACATTGTTTTCTTGAAGAATATGAAAAATTAGGTTTAGATCTACTTGAATTGCTTGCTGACCACATAACTTACTTATAGAACAGCAGAGCGGTTCTTCTGCACTGGATCACGTACCTAGTACGTAATCAGAGCCTCCGGGTAGGGCGTACACACGTGTCTGCCAACCGGGCTGTGCTTTGGTTTGTTACAGCACAAGCCAATCAGTGGTTTCCGGCAAATGATTAACCCTTTGATTGCCTCAGATGTTAATACCTTCCTACCCAGTGTCCTTGGTACAGTGGCAGTGCTCATTATTAGCACTGATCACTGTATTAGTGTCAGTGAAAGTTAATCAATTCCCGCTCAGTGTCAGTATCCGCCGCTCTATCACAGTCCCACTATAAGTCGCTGATCGCCATCATTACCAGTATAAAATGAGTAAATA